GGTACCTTCTGATCATAAGCTATAACACTTTTTCTCTGAGCGTAATTTGGCAACACTTTAGAGGTTGTGGTGCAGTTTTATAGTCCCTGTAACCTTAGAGTACTTTGAAATTTAAAAATCCAAAAGAATCATCTTGTAGCTTAGCTAAGGCTTGAACTGAAATCACCTGTTAGGCCTTTCCGTGCAAGTACCAAACAACAATTTGCATTTTGTGCCCTTTATGATGGGGAAATATCGCAGGATGTTTCAAAATAGATGTGTAAGTAAATGAACTTCAAGTCAAGAAGGGTTGAAAGAAATCTTGGCCTGAAGTTCTGCCGCTCCTAGTTAACGATAAATGCACAAAAGTAAAACACCAAATAGTGCAATATTGAAAATCTGAAATGAAAATAGATAATGCTGGAGAGACTCAGCAGGTCTGGCAGCATCGATTGAGTTATGAAAAGTATCATTGGACTCTACCTAAAATCTATTTCTCCTTTCATTGATGCTGCCAGACCCACTGACATCCACAGAAGATAAGACTCCAAGCAATGAGGTAGTCAGGACAGGTTACAAAATTAGAGGAGACAGCATAAATGAGATTGACTGAGGCCAACCACGAACATAATGAACATTGTTTATTTTGGAGGTGATGAGCCAATGCAAGTTATGGATGAGAGAATGTATTAGCAGAATAGGCCATGTGATAGGTTTCGGAAATGTTGATTAAAGATGAATAATAGAAGAAGAGCATGAATAGTGTTTAAATATGGTGGGAAAAGTGCATTTGAGTTACTGGTGTTTATATATGGAGATGAAAAGAAAAACTGTTAGTGATGAATGGATGATGTTTCTCAAGCATAATTCTGGGTTAAATGAGACACTGGTTACGAATAGAGGGTTTAGACTGAGAATAGCAGACATGGATGCAGATGGCATCAAGAGAGTGAAGTTTGTGGCAGATTCTTAAACAGTTGTCCTTTGACTTGGACTAAAATAGGCTATGCTTCATTCAGGACATGCTGCCAGAGGCCGTTTAGGAGTTCAGATACATAATGAATAATGTTGCTGAAATCAAATGGGGATAGGGTTCAAGAAATAGAGAAGGGAGAGATGCAATTGTTCAACATGTACAGAGTGCATTCAGAAAATGGGAATAAAATCTGTATATGGCAATTTCATCAAACTGGATGATGGGAGGCATTGGACGTCAATGTCGTAGTCAACTACAGTATTAAATGCTTTGGAAACTACAAAGAAGGGTTTGCAAATAAGATAATTCTAGGCTGCTGAGGCATCAAATCCATTGATAGCATAAGGATCAGGGAGTGGTGTTAACTTGATATGTGGTGACTGGGGAGTGGAAAGAGAAGAATTAGTCGGTTAAGAGGTGGGCAAGCCCCACTATATAATATGAATATTTATTAAAAGTGGCAGCACAGTGGCTCATTGGTTAGCACTGCTGCCTCACAGGGCCAGGGACCTGGGTTCAATTCCGTCCTGTGGTGACTGTCTGTGTGAGTTTGCACATTCTCCCCGTGTCTGCGTGGGTTTCCTCCAGGTGCTCCAGTTTCCTCCCACAGTCCAAAGATGTGCAGGCTAGGTGGATTGGCCATGCTAAATTGTCTGTAGTGTTCAGGGATGTGTAGATTAGATGGGTTATAGGGGGATGGGTCTGGGTGGGATGCTCTCAGGGTCGGTATGGACTTGTTGGGCCGAAGGGCCTGTTTCCACACTGTAGGGATTCTGTGATCTTCTAAAACTCAGTGAAGTGTGTGAATGACAAAATGATCTTACTGCTGTTTTAGGGCTGGGATGTAGTGTGAGAAAAGAGATAGTGGGTGATGAGCACAAGTCACGTACTTCATAAAAGGGGAAATATGAGTCTTGTGAAGCAGGTCTTGTGAATCTCAAGTCAGCGTGAGACAAATTTGCTCACCAGCTCTAAAGTAGCAAACCTGTAAAATACTATTAGCAAAATTATTAGGTTTTTCTTCATGAGGAACACCCGTCATCAAAGTAATTTATTTTTTTCAAAATTTTGAACCATTTTCATAAAAACCTGAAATTTATTTTCTGGTGTTAGATACAAAATGGAAAATTCTGTTTGCTTAATTGTGAGCTGGAAGAAATGGTTCTGTAAATATGCAAGGATAAAACTAGGGTCACGGAGTTTTGAGAATTTATGTCTGTGAAGTTTTATATGGTTTTAACAGTGGAATAGAAGGTTAAAGTATGCAAAATCCTAGTTAATTGCTTCAAGCTAAACAAATTAGAAAAATACAGAAAGTTACAACATGGAAACCGGCTCTTCGACAATCTGTCCAGTGTAATCTTGAATGTTGACAGTTTTGCCTCAATCATTGAATTCGCTTCCAGAACTAAGAATTGAAGAGGCTTCTCCTGCTTTCAGTTCCAATCACTTGCAATTTTGTTTTTATTTTTGGCCTCCAATTGATACATAACTACTGGAAAAGTCTGCTCCTTTATCTACCCTGTGGCATTATTTATTACCAAATATCCTCACAAAAGCCTCAATACTGTAACTGAAATGGTAAGATTTTATATAGGTGCCTCTTCATTATATATGAAACCACGTGATAATTAAGTGGTTCTGCTGTTAATATTATTGCGGTGAATGATTGGATTCAAAGTTGATGAAAATCTTAAAAGCAGGAGGATATTAAAAATGTATTTAATATATTGCATCAGAAGATCTTGTCAATGAAGGGAGTATGGCTCTGCCTAACATTCTGTGGTTCTGTCTTTGCTGCCAGGAGTGAGTTCCCTGAACCCAGCTGGCATATACCACAATTTTGCTGACAAATTAGTGGTACAGTAATGTGAAATTTATTGTTTGCAAGATGCACTTAAATACCGGATAAATTGCAAAATGAATTAGTTTCCCACTCCTGTATTCATTGTGAACTTGACTGAATTTTAAAGTTGAAACTTTTGGAATCAACATATTTTTGCTCTTCAAGATATCCTCCAGTTTGGTCAGCCAAAAGAAAAACCAAATTGAGTGAGAAAAGACAAAAATGAAACACTTTTTTAATGTTTGACTTGAATTCCATTACTTTGCTATGACCTGTTAGAGTTGGGAAAAGAAACCTATCTACATCTAGCCATGTTTCAGCAGTAGCAACCCTGAGACTTGGACACCTTAATAGGAGTTGAACCACTGAAATTAGTTATGCCAGCAATAAATTGTAGACTAATACTTAATGCTATTACAGCAGAATTGAGTACAAACATCCACATGCTTTCTGTGTGAAAAGGAAGTCTTAAGCCAACCATTAATGTTCTATTAGATGAGAGGCCTCGTGGTGTATTAGTAACATCCACATCTCTGGGCCAGAAGACCTGGGTTCAAGTCTCACCTGCTCCAGCCCTGTGTCATAGTACATGTGAACAAATTGATTTTTTGAAAGAATATGTTTTGTTAGTCTATATTACCTATAGTATTTCAAGTAATTTGAACCTAGAAAATATTTTCGTGGAAAAAGAAGTGACTCATAATGGTAAGGAATTGTTTTATGCCATTGGATGCGCCACTTTCATTCACAATTCCATAGCAAATCCTCTAACTTTATATTGAACGAGGATTTTGAAATGTTGATAAGCGTTTTTTCCAAGAAAGGGAGTTGAATGGATAGCCACTGTAGGTATTTTATTATTGGCTTTTCCTGATATGCATAAGTAGTAATATCTATTATGTAATATTTTCAAAAGCCAGAATGCAGGAAGCCATTTTTCCACATTTCTGACTTCCCATGATTTAATATAGAAAAACCTAGCCAATTTGTATATACATTAGGAAATATTACTTCCATCCATAGTACAGACATAACTTTCCTCAACTGCATATTTCTTTTAGAAACAATCATAATGGTGTTGACAAATAAACGATCACTTCTTTGAATCAACAGGAGGCAAATTAAACAAATTTTGGATAGATTAGTACAAATGTATGAATTGTTATGGTTTTGACTAAGAATGAATGTCTTAGGATGAACATGCACTATTTTGTCGGGTCTACTTGTTGGAATTTCTATTATAAATTCCAATGTCCATATTTCCTATTCAGTTTTCTGATGTTGATATCACAATGCAATTGCATATTAAAACCACTGGATGGCTCTTTGGAACAACTCTTCCAACAGATTCCGAGCTGTCAATTTTAAGGTTTCTCTTGTATTCAGCCACTTCCACTTTACTTACCCGTTACCTATATGTTTAAAGTGGGCTGTTTCTACATTGAACATTCTAACTCATCATGCAAGTCTATTCTAGTTTCTATCTCATTTGTTTCCCTCACCCATTTCATCGTCTCCCCCCCGGGGGGTAGTATTCCTATCTCTGAACCAAGAGTCTTAGGTTCAAGTCCCAACTGCTCCAGAGATGTGTAATATCAGCTCTGAACAGATTGATTTAGAAAGTACCCCAGATAGCTAGTTTCCAACGCCTTGCCTAGAGGGAAGGTGTCATATGCTAAGCGTTTCCTACTTTGACTATGGTACTTGGCTTTGAGAATAATTCTTAGAATGCCACCTTCAAGACCTTACTCCACGTTGTCTTCTATTGCTGAAATGCCCTTTGAGAAAGTTAACTTTATTTCTTAGGTCAATTACTTTTTTAAATTTAGGTCAATTTCCTTTTTAAGATTTGTTCAAATCCTACACACTCATTTTCCAAAATGTTTTACACTAGCCCAAGTGAGGCAACAGACCACCTAAAGATTTCGGCTATAGCTGTAAAGTTGTCTTTACTCTCAACAAATCTTTTGCCCTCCTTTAGCACTACTAATTGAGTGAGTCCAAATCATAGGTCTGGTTCTGTCGCACCAGACCCAATGCAGTACTGTACTGAAAATATAACCGATTGTACAGGCAGCACGTCCTTCGTTGAGTATTTCACCCTTCCTGAGCTCAGGCAAGATCCTCAAGTGATCTAAAGGTTCTCTCTCTGCTGTTTGACAAGTGAGGATGTCAGTCATTGCCATGATTACTGGCCCCTGTTGGTGCTGTGGTTTCCAGGGTGACAGTTTCCGTGGGGACTCGTTAAGCTGTCGCACTGATTCCTCCCTCCCGAACTCTGACCCCCTCTGGCTTTTGTTCGGTTGCTCGCTTCAATCTTCCAGCGAGGATTCGGCGGAAAAAAAAGAATTTAAATTAGAAATCCGTTAAATTAGCTCCCCGCCGCTGTCGATGACAATGCCGTTGGTCGCGTTCAAAAGGTCGTCTCACCCCCGCCAGCCCGACTGGGATGTTACTCTGGTTAAACGACGTTTCCAGGGCAGACATTAATTAGAGGGTAAGTGAAGAAATAAGATTAAAAATAAATGCTGGTAGGCACGTCCGACACAGCAACGAGATGAGATGCAGCGTTAAGTGTTCTTTTTGAAGAGGATGAGGTGTATATTATATATTTACGAAGTCCAGGTGGATCGCTTGACGCGACGGTCAGTCCGTCTCCAGCTCCGTGGGGTTCGAATAACCCGGCCTCTCCCTGTCCTAAACCCCCATTCCTTTCGGGAGTCGGTTTTGATCCCCTCCCCCTCAATTTTCAAATCCACAACACGGCCTTAGGGGCGCAGCCTAACCTGCTGTTTTGACTGTCCGTGATTGACATTGGTTTGGTTCAATGGGAATCGGCGGCCGACCTGACCGACCAATTGTCTCGAGCAGACCCGGCAGCGGTTCCGCCCCTCCCTCAACAGGGTCCGGTGAGAAGTGCATGGGGTCCAATTCACTGGGAACAAAGTTGGGTGGGTGTCCGTCGCCCACAGAACAGGCAATCCAGCATTCAGTCGCTCTCCCTCCGAATAAAACCAATTACAGATGGAATGGTATGGAAATCGTGGAACCTCTTGGAAACAAGAAGTTCGTCGTTAAAAGGCTCAGCTACCACTGATGATCACCTTAAGTTAAAGATTAGTTTCTTATAATTTTACAACTTTTATAAGACAACGTCATTCGCAATTGTCTTCATGAATAGTTTAGAATCACATACCAGTCTTTGAGTACGATAGAGGTTCATCTAGGTTTATGGTTTGAAGGGATTGCTTTATGAGAAATAATTGAGTAGACTCGAGTTTACTCAAGGTGAGGCGTTCTCAATTACACATGCAAAATTCTTAAGGGACGTGGCAGGGTTGGTGCTGATGGGCTTATTTTCTCCTTTTGGGGTGCACTCCCAGAATAAGGGATTGGCCATTTAGGATTGAGATGATGAGGCACTTCACTGAATCTTGGATTTTTGGAAATCCCTACACCAATGAACTGTGCTGTGTCAATATGTATATTCAAGAGTAATCAATAGATTTATGGATATTGTGGGAATTATGGGATGTCAAGCTCACAGAGGAAAGTGGAATTGAGGTAGAAGATGAGCCATGATCCTGTTCAATGGCAGGGCAGGTTCAAGGGGCCAAATGATCCATCTCTACCATTTCTTATGTTTTTATATGCTGTGTTCAGTTGCACTGTTAATACAGAGTATGAAATATTACAATATACAATAAAAATATATTATTTGTGTATATGCACACTGTGTAAAATAAACTTAATATATACAGATTCAGTCCTTAACATCTACCATCTGTGTGTTGAGGAGCAACACCTAATATTTGTTTGCTGCTATATATCAACAGATATTCTTCTACACACATCTGTTACATGGGAATTTTTGAACAGTGTAAAATAGGGGAAATTATGGTAGAAGTGACTTGCACCAATAATTACTGCCCTATGTTATTCTCCCAAGACTTATATTCCACTGTTGTCCGAGTTGAGACAAGCTTTGCCTTCCCATTTGGCAATCGCCATTTAATTTCATTTTCACACTTCTGCCATTTAGACAAAAATGATGTTGCTGAAGACCTAGCAATAGTGATGTTCTGAAAAGGCATCCTATACCACTGTTTTCCAGGGACCGTCCCCAACTACAATCCCTCATTTTAGTTTCTTCTGCAAGAACCTCTGGCATCCATATGCAGCAGCGACTTCCAAATCTGGAAGTCATTGCTGGAAATGGCATCAGCTCGCCGATTGGCACATGCAGACCCTTGGAGTGACTCTACAGCTTAGATGAAATGTTAGCCCCCAGGTAAAGTCTGTGTCATAGGAACAGGAGAAGGCCATTCACGTGTCAAGTCTTTCCATCATTTAACTGGATCACGGCTGATCACCTACCTCCATGCCACTTTCCTGAACTGTCTCCTTTTTTTTAAATTCACTCATGGGATGTGGACATCGTTGGCTGTCCAGCATTTTATTTCCCTTGAGAAGGTGGTGGTAAACTGCCTTCTTAATCTGCTGCAGACTGTATGCTGTAGTTTAACCCACAATGCCTGTAGGGAGGAAATTCCAGGATTTTGACCCAGCAACAGTGAAGGAACGGCAATATATTTTCAAGTCAGGATGGTGAGTGGCTTGCAGGGGAACTTGCAGGTTGTGGTGTTCCCAAGTATCTGCTGCCCTTGTCCTTCTATATTGAAATGGTTGTTGGTTTGGAATTTGCTATCTAAGGATCTTTGGTGAATTTCTGCAGTGCATCTTGTAGATGGTACACATAGCTGCTACTGTGGATCAGTGGTTGAGGGAGTGGATGTGGTGCCAAGCAAGCTGGCTGCTTTGTCCTGGACGGTGTCAAGCTTCTTGAGTGTTGTTGGAGCTGCACTCATCCAAGCAAGTGGGGAATATTCATCCTGACTCGGCCCTTTGTAGATGGTCGAAAGGCTTTGGGGAGTCAGGAGATGAGTTACTCGCCATAGTATACCTATCCTCTGAGCTACTCTTGTAGCCACTGTGTTTATGTGACAGGTCAGTTGAGTTTCTGGTCCATGGTAACGCCAGGTGTTTTGATAGTGGGGATATAGTGTTAGTGACATCATTGAATGTTGAGGGGCAGTGATTAAATTGTCTCTTATTGGAGATGGTCATTGCTTGACATTTGTGTGGTGCAAATGTTACTTGCCAGTTGTCAGCCCAAGCCTGGATATTGTCCAGACCTTGTTTCATTTGAACATGGACTGCTTCAATACCTGAGGAATCACGAATAGTGCTGAACATTGTGTAATTATTGGCGAACAACCCCATTTCTAACCTTGTGATGGAAGGAAGGTCATTGATGAAGATGGTTAGGCCTAGGACACTACTCTGCAGAACACTTGCAGAGATGTCCAGGAACTGACTGAACTCCAATAACCACAACCACCTTCCTATGTGCCAGCTATGACTCCAACCAGCAGAGACTTTGCCCCCTCATACCCATTGATTCCAGTTTTGCTAGGGATCCATGATGCTTCACTCAGTCAAAAAGTCATAGGTAAACAGCACAAAAACAGAGTCTTCAGTCCAACTCGTGCGCGCAGACCAGATATCCTAAACTGATCTAGTCCCATTTGCCATCATTTGGCCCATATCCCTCTAAACCCTTCCTATTCATGTACCCATCCAGATCCATTTTTAAATATTGCAGTTGTATGCACCTTCACCACCTCCTGTTGCAGCTCATTCCTTACACACACCATCCTCTGCATGAAGAAGTCGCCCCCTCAGGTCCTTTTTAAATCTTTCCCCTCTCACCTTAAACCTATGCCTTCTAGGGTTGGACTCCCACACCCTGGGAAAAAGACCTTGACTATTCACCCTATTCATGCCCCTCATGGTTTTATAAAGCTCTGTAAGGTTATCCCTCAGTCTCCGACGCTCCAGGGAAAAATGCCTCTGCCTATTCAGCCTCAGCCTATTCAGCCTCTCCCTATAGCTCAAACCCTCCAATTCCAGCACATCCTTGAAACTCTTTTCTGAACACACTCAAGTTTAACAACATCTTTCCTACAGCTGGAAGACCAGAACTGAATGCAGTATTCCAAACATGGCCTCACCAATGTCCTTTACAGGTGCAACTGCAAAGGCTATGGACCCTGACAATGTTCCAGCAATGGTACAAAACTTGCTGCTTTCCTAACCGATCCTACACTGAATGCACTGATCAAGCATTCCAAACGCCATCTACAACACTGTCTACCTGCGACTCCATTTTCAAGGAACTGTGCACCTGCACCTGTAGGTCTCTTTGTTCAGCAACACTCCCCAGGGCTCTACCATTAATTGTATAAGCCCCGCCCTGATTTGCCTTACTAAATGCAGCACCTCACATTTATCTACATTAAACTTCATCTGCCACTCCTCAGCTCATTTCCCACCTGATCAAGGTCCTGTTGTACTCTGAGATCACTGTCCACTACACCAACAATTTTGCTAACATCTGTAAACTTACTAACTATACCTCCTATAATCACATTCAAATCATTTATATAAATGATGAAAAGCAGTGGATGCAGCACCGATCCCTGTGACACATCACTGGTCACAGACCTCCAGTCTGAAATACAACCCTCTACTACCACCCTCTGTCTCCCATCTTCAAACCAATTTTGTATCCAATTTGCTAGCTCCCCATGGATGAATACAGCCTTGATGTCAAGTGCTGTCACTCTCAACTCACCTCCAGAATTAAGCTCTTTTGTCCATGTTTGAACTAAGGCTGTAATGAAGTCAGGAGCTGAGTGGCCCTGGCTGTACCCAAACTGGGCGCCAGTGAGCAGGCACTGCTTAAAAATACTGTTGATGACATTTTCCATTACTTCACTAATGATTGAGAGTAGACCGATGGGGGCGATAATTGGCCAGGTTGGATTTGTCTTGCTTTTTGTGTACAGGATGTACCTGGGTAATTTTCCACATTATTGGGTAGCTGCCAGTCTTATATCTATACTGGAACAGCTTGGTTAGGGAAGCAGTAAGTTCTGTACTATTGCCAGAATATTGTCAGGACCCATAGCCTTCGCAATATCCAGTGCCTCCAACCGTTCCTTGATATCACGTGGAGTGAATTGAATTGGGTGAAGACTGGCATCTGTAATGCTGTGGACCACTGGAAGAGTCCAAGATGGATCAACCACTTGGCACTTCTGATCGAAGATTGCTGCAAATGCTTTGGCCTTCTATTCTGCGCTTAAGCTTTTGCTCTTCTGTCATTGACGTTGGGGATGTTTGTGGAGCGTTGTCCTCCAGTGAGTTGTTTAATTAACCACCACCATTCATGACTGGATGTGGCAGAACTGTAGCGCTTAGACCTGATCGATTGGTTGTAGGATTGCTTAGCTCCGTCTATCACTTGCTGCTTATGCTGTTTAACATGCAAATAGTCATGTTTGATAGCTTCACCTGATTGACCTCTCATTTTCAGGTATGCCTGTTGCTGCTCCTGGCATGCCGTCCTGCACTCTCCAATGAACCATTGAT